GTTTACACAAGTCATTCATAATCCCAGAAAGGTTAAACAAGTTGTCCAAGGTCAGACCATGATCAATGACAGACCGAAGAGCAGAGCTTGGAATACTGATTTGTGCTGTCGCACTGAAAATACGGCTGTGAGAGATGAATCCCCACGATGACACAATGACTCATGTCAACTTGAACTCCACATTCTACCACGAACCGGGCCAAACAGCTTCCTGGTAGCTCATTTAGAGGGCAGAACATGGATTATATACAGCATGAGCTACTGCACTTTGAGGAGTTCCTCTGCTCGTGAGCTGAAAGCTCTGCCAATGTGTCATGAGGTTATTCACTCAATAATTCCTTTTCAGAATTAGGCACCAAACCTTGCAAACCCCACACGAGGCAATGGAAAGAGAATTAAACAGTCAAAAATCCTTCACTCCCTACAGCAAGAAAACGGTCTCAAATTTCTGGATCTTCCTCATCAGCTCAGCTGCTGCCACTTGGAAATGGTTTATTAGCAAAGACTCTAAATAACTGGTGCCCTGGAAATGCTGATGTGCTCCTTACACTGGCCTGGGTGCTGATGGGTGTCCTTCAGGAGGCTGTCGAGAATGAGATGAAGGGTGTTCACAGTCTCATCCACGCTCTTGCCCAAAATTCTTGTCAGCTGTACTAAATCCTGCTGAATATGCTGCTCTAGGAAAGTCACCGCGTTGGGCACCAGTGGCTTGATAATCTTGCGAAGTGACTAAAGAGGAAGCAAAGGGAAGAATGAGCACAGGCAGTAACATCCAGCTCAAGCACAAGGCACTTGGAGATACAGTCCACCAGAAAGTCTCAGCTCCATCCTGTAGGATTCCTCCCACCAGAACAAACACAGGTCTGTGTCTATATGCACACGTGCAAGTGCACGAAGGAACCAAAATCCCTCCTGGGCAATGAGGGAAGTGAATTTGGGTCTCACGTCCTGAAAGACTGCCCCAGTTCCTTGGCAATATGATGAAAAGGATCAGTGTCATACAGAGGTTTCACTACATTTCATGCGGCCACTTGGAACTATTACTGGGAGTTACCTCAGGGTCTTTTGTGGCTCCCAGCAGCATTGCCAAATGCGTGAGCAAGCGCATCAGCATGAAGACAACGGGGGACACGTCCCGATCACACACTCCTGCTGCTTTTCTGTGCTTTACGTCTCCAAGTATGTGTCCAGTTTGAGTTCTGTCTTCATTACCCCTGTTGGAAAGAACATACATAGTTTTTTGCCTTGACAAAAACACACAAGAGATGTCTTTGATACCCAGTAATGTCTTTTTGACCCGTAAGTTCTTTGGATGCCATAAAAGCTGCCAATTAAAAGTGCTAAAGGGGAATGAAGACTTCCAGTAAGTTTTGTATCGGCAAATAAGCCGATTTGTTTAGTTTTGCTGGCTGGTTACTCTTCCTTGGACATCTCTTCCAAGAGAGAGATGAAAGAGGCAATGTCCAGCCCTGTAGGGCAAGATTAGCCAGCTCTGTGCTGGATAGATGAGAAGCTGCTGCTGTTGGAATTATAGCTTTAATGTTCTTACAAAAAAGCTGCAAGTGCTGATCCCCTGGGAGGCCCAGGTGGGAGCCAATGGGGGGCCACCTTTCAGGCAGCAGCTTGAAGTGGTTGGTACCTTTTGCCCTGGAAGCACAACAGGCAAGTCCTACATCATTTCACACTGAAAAGGTTAAGGAACCAAAGCCTACTGGAATTCTCGGAAGCCAGGCACTGCTTTATGATTTTGCCCTCCAATTTGGACACCACACTCGATGCAGGAGCTCGTTTCCATGGGGCGGCCACACTAGCAAAAAACAAAATGAGAACACTGAACTCCAGAGCAAAAGCCACTCCAGCAGAGAAAGAGAACAAAACAAAAATCCAAGCTGTAACTGGTTAATTCAAAAGCTGCTATATACTGGGCAACAGACCTCTGTCGCTTGTTTCCTAGATTTATGGTATAAGCTGTGTTAAAGCTATTCCAAATCTTACATTACAATGACAAAAAAGATTCGTAATATAGAGAATTTAGAAAACGAACTGCTGTGCTATAGAACATAAAAACCAGTAAATAAAATGAAAGAGTTTATTGTTGAAAGCACCACCTGCTTAAAACCCCACCAATCTCAAATTCTTACCTCTCCTATAAAGCAGACGTGGCCGTTTGGACACGCTAGCAAGAAAGAGAAACAAAGATGTCAGTGTTATAACAACAGACATTTATAAAGCCCCTGTTCTTTCCTTTCTTAGGGACCATCATCTTGGAACGAGAAATATGCTTCAAGATTTAATCAAAAGCACGGACAGTCCCAAAACTCAAAGGAATCACTCCTGTGGGGGAACCCAAGGAACTTTTCAGTGCATCTCTCCTCGAGGAACAAGCCTGAAAGATTCTGCTGTCAATACCAAAAGGGGCTGGAAGCATCAAAGAGGAGTGTGTCTGTCCTCACATTTGGAACTGTTTCATCCAAAAACGAAGGATTATCCTTCAATGTCTTTCACAGCCAGAGAAGCACTTACTGTACCAGCGCAGAGCGGCCAGTCCTTCCCAGGTCCTTGCCTGAGCCATTAAATCTTCTGGCATTGTAGGCAGAAAAGAGTGCTAAAGAGGAAAAAGGGAAAAAAGGTGACAAATGAATACATATATCTGTTCTTTCCTGTAGCAGTTCCTCAACTAGCTCCTTCTTCATGATAGGGAACAGAAAGCAGAGGTCACGCAGATTATGCACATGTACATTTTCAAATTCCACCTTTGAAAAATCCACTCTTAAAAACTGTCAATATTGTTAAGCTTTGCGCAGGCACTTTCTAGACATCCTGAACTGGGTTCCTCTTGGGGTGGTGGCCTGATGCACCCTGGTGTGTAGCAGCACATTTCCTCGTGTCGTGGAGAGCCAGCAGCAGATTCCTCCACCCTGACTCAGCCCAGGGCTCCATCACCCTTTAGAGCACACAGGTCCCCACAGCGTGGCCTGCCAATGGCTCCCAGACTTGCTCACTCAAATATCTGCTAAAGTATTTGTCTGATACAGTTCAGGACGCAGAGGTACCCTGAAAAAGTACCCGTCCAGAGATGCTTGGTGTGCTAATTAATCCCAACAACACTGAAAAAATTATACATCAGTAATTCACAGCTAAAACAGTAAGTTGGTGCTTTTGACATCAAGAAAGCTTAGGTTAGAGAGGACCCATAAGATACATGAATGAACTAGCAATACGCTGAATTGCCATCCCAGTTAACTCTCTTTACCTGCATGGATTGTGGATGGAATGCCAGGTTCCTGAGGGGCTGCAGGACAGGGCTCTGGACACACAGCAAGACGGCCGCAGTGTGAACAGCCATCTCAGCCAGTGCTCCCCCGTGGCTGGAGCTCTGAGGACCCACCGTCAGAGACGGCAGCGAGTTCATCACCAGAGAAGTTGCAAAGTGCTGCAGGTCTGGAGAATTCAGGGCTTGGGAGTTCTGGATGAACTCAGTCATAACATCTCTTTGCTGAAAGCACATATTTAAAAGAAATAAAACCAGCGTGATATCGCCCACCAAACTGAAGAGGAGCATCAGCTGCTTCCCATGCTGTGCTGCCCCTGCTTTGAAAACATGCTCAGTCTGCTTTGATCAGGACATAACTGCATTTGCAGCAGAAGAACAAAATGCTCTTCCACCACTGATTTAAATCTCATTCACCCTTACCAATGACGTGTGTTTGTCACAAGCTTCCAAAGTGAAATATCTTACCTGCTCCTTGGGGTGAAGATTTGAATCACTAACTCCGTACAGGGCAGTGACCTCCCTGAAAAGACCCAGTAGCAGATGGGCAGACCTTACCACCGGTGAGCTGCGTGAGGCCTGGAAAAGAAGAATTGATGATGTGGCACAGAAGAGGCTATAGTTGTCACAGCTGAAGTTGAACAAGGCTACGCAGCTATGGGCAGGCAGGGAAAAGGGCTTAAAGCATCTTTGATTATCTGCCTGCTCCCCAGCCAGCTGGCTGCAAGGTGCCTGTATCGCTCACAGCAAAACAACTGCTGCCATATATTACAAGGGGAGAAACACGAGATGAGGCAACCAACAGAAATAACATCAGAGTTACATATGCTAGAACACAGATAAGAAAATGAAGCAAACGTGTGTCTTCCAGGATAAGCCAACAGTAACTTCCAGGCAAGGGCAACCCCAGCATCTCCACTGGAAGAGCCACTGCCAAGAGGAACACATAAAGCTTAACCACTGGCCACCCAGACCCTAGAACAGGATTATGGTGAGGAGCACGTGTCCTACCTTCTCTGCCTCTAGAAGATCCTCAGTCTTACACTCGATCATGGCTTTCCCCACGGTGTCGCGCAGGACTCTGTAGTTCTCACCGCAGGCCAGGTAACGATCGATGTGATTAGACTGGCTGTTCTGCATCTACAAAGGGAAAAGCCCAGGGTGAACTCTGTGGACATTCACCAGCCATGGGATAAGGCAGAATCTCCTCTTCCTCCCAAGAACTGGGGCATTTCAGCCTTTACAGAGAGACAGCAGGGCAGCGTGGCAACCCAAACAGCTTTTCACTGCCATAACAGGCTCCAGGGAGCATGAGGATGTCACCTTCCCAATCACTCCTGCTGCAGTGTGTCCCCAGAGCCACCCAACAGTAGAAACCCCCCAAAGCAGCATGAGCTGAGGACTAAGAGGAGACACCTCTTCTTTACCTGCTGAAGAATTTCCACTGGGAATACCCAGTTAAACTTTGCCTCTGTGACAAGCTTCTGAGCAAATTCCATCCCATACTGACTAGCAATTTTCCGGACTAGGAAAACATGATGCCAGTTGTTCTTGGCGAGGCCACAGAACGTCCTCACATTTGCCAGGTAACGCCGCTTCTCCTCAACCTTGTCTTGCCCTGGAGGGAAAAAAAAGTATTAAAAAAAAAAAAAGAAAGGCAAAACCACATCCTGCCTTGTAAAACTTGTACACAGCATTCCCACATTTGACAGGGAATAACCAGACTTACCTGTGGGCTCGTGCAAGTCAAAGAGTAGCTCTGCAGCCCTGCTCAGGTACAAGCGAACCTTGGCCACCGCCTGCAGATATTCCACGGATGATTCCTGAGGAGTTTCTCTATTGTTCTTTGGGAGGTAGTTCTCTGGAAAGCCTCCCTCTTCGGGCAGATAGTTCATATGCTCATGTCCAAGGCTGCCCTCGGACTTTTCACACATGGAATCCTAAAGATGGGCCGGAATATTGCATGAGTGGCAGAACCACTTAAATCAGGTACTTTGTTTCCCCAATGCATCCTCACTCTAGTAAGCTCATTAAGCTTTCAGGTCTCTCCTGGCACCCTCCAGCCCAAAGCCATTACCTCCTCCTGGTGGTCTCTCCAGTGCTTATCCTAAACCCTTGCCACCTCACCAAACACCTTCTTCTGCAATAAGCCCAGGCTCTCCCCGGTATTTCCTAAGCTGTAGCTGAGCTCAAGGATCATGAGCATGATGAGTGGCCACAGATCAAAACACCCATGTCATGTTCTGAGATGCCAAGCTCTACCTGGCTTTCCTTGAGCAAGAATACAAAGTTTGATCTTATCTACAAAGTCACCATTTTCATGAAAACTACCAGAAATGAAACCTCAACCCTGCTGTCAAGTTGGTTTAAAGTTGTCCAATGCATACAAAGTTATGCAGGGGGAGGAAAGGGAACAATCCAAACAGCATAATCATCTAAAGCTTTGCAAACAAAGTGTCTGGGAATACAAGAACATAGTCCAATAGTGGAACCACAGCTCGAAATCTCCCTGCCTGCTGCACTCGTGGGCTGGAGTTTGAATCTTTTTGAGCCTCTCTTAACACTTGGACACCTGCCCAAGGCATCCAAGAGACAGAGGCCTTCGGGAAGCAAGGCTGGTTACTGGAGAATAGGTTCTGACCAGCTGATTTGATATCGTCTTCCTTTTGGGCTTTCTCGCTGGGCAGCCAGGTACGCACACAAGAAACTGGCCTGAAATTGCAGAATTTCTATTCTTGACTTTTTAATTCCTGCAACAGTTTCATTGCCAAGCTCTTACCTCCAAGCAGTTGACAACAAGCACGTAGAGTTCCTTTTTATCGTTTTTCTCTAGGATCTTTTTGTGCTCTACCTGGGACAGGTACTCCTGCACGTCGTTTTTCACTTCATTGAAGCTACAGGAGAGAGAAAACACCCCCTTTACCAGATCTGCAATGCTGACAGCTACCAGTTCTGTCCCAAATCATCAACATGGGACCTACAGGAAACTCATTCCCTTCTGTAAAAGCAGCCTGAAGCCAGACAGAACACTTGGGTGTCTAAAATGACGTGAAACACATGGAAGGACAACTGAATTGAGTCCTAAGGGTCACAGGACCTCTCACCTGAAACTCAAATGGATGGGACTTGCTATATAAATGTAAACATCTCTATTTGAACTAGACACCCTGGATTCCACTTGTGACAAACTAGTCAATGCAGCTGATGGGTGAGGGCACCATCCTGTGATTAAAATGCTGGAGCACGTTTAGAGAAGGGCAACAGAGCTGGTGAGGGGTCTGGAGCACAAGTCTTGTGAGGAGCAGCTGAGGGAGCCGGGGGTGTTCAGCCTGGAGAAAAGGAGGCTGAGACCTTCTCACTCTCTCCAACTCCCTGAAAGGAGGGTGTAGCCAAGGAGATGGGGGGGGAGTTGGTCTCTTCTCCCAAGGAACAGGCGATAGGATGAGAGGAAATGGCCTCAAGTTGTGCCGGGGAGGTTTAGACTAGACATTAGGAAAAAATTCTGCACTGAAAGGGTTATTAAGGATTGGAACAGACTGCCCTGGGAAGTGGTGGAGTCACCATCCCAGGAGGTGTTTAAAAGATGGGTAGACTTTATGCTGAGGGACATGGTTTAGTGATGGTTTTTGTCAGTGTTATGTTGATGGTTGGACTCAATCTGACAGGTCCCTTCCAGCCTGGGCAATCCTATGATTCTACCATCAACAATGCCAAATTAGCATTTCTAGGGCATAGATCTGATCTGTGCTATACATCTGATTTAGGAGAGGATCACAGCTGGGAAATGGCTCTCTGTGCACTGACTGCAAAAGGAGGCTGAGGAGCTGGTGTGAATGGAGGGGTCTGTCTAAGCACACAAAAGATGGTTCTTAATTAAATGTCTGTGGATGAGAATTACTGCTTTGCTGATCTACAGCACATCAGTTAGTGACCACCCATGGTCAGTGCAGGTTTGGGTTAAGAACAGCCAGGTAAATCTGGTCAGATACTTCGACACAAGTTATCTGCAAGCCAGCTGAATAGTACAACTAATACAAAGGAATGGGATGAATTTCATTTTTAATGATACCTTGTGATTAAAATGCTGGAGCACGTTTAGAGAAGGGCAACAGAGCTGGTGAGGGGTCTGGAGCACAAGTCTTGTGAGGAGCAGCTGAGGGAGCCGGGGGTGTTCAGCCTGGAGAAAAGGAGGCTGAGACCTTCTCACTCTCTCCAACTCCCTGAAAGGAGGGTGTAGCCAAGGAGATGGGGGGGGAGTTGGTCTCTTCTCCCAAGGAACAGGCGATAGGATGAGAGGAAATGGCCTCAAGTTGTGCCGGGGAGGTTTAGACTAGACATTACAAAAAAATTCTGCACTGAAAGGGTTATTAAGGATTGGAACAGACTGCCCTGGGAAGTGGTGGAGTCACCATCCCAGGAGGTGTTTAAAAGATGGGTAGACTTTATGCTGAGGGACATGGTTTAGTGATGGTTTTTGGGTAGACTTCATGCTGAGAGACATGGTTTAGTGATGGTTTTTGTCAGTGTTATGTTGATGGTTGGACTCAATCTGACAGGTCCCTTCCAGCCTGGGCAATCCTATGATTCTACCATTTTAGCATTTCTAGGGCATAGATCTGATCTGTGCTATGCATCTGATTTAGGAGAGGATCACAGCTGGGAAATGGCTCTCTGTGCACTGACTGCAAAAGGAGGCTGAGGAGCTGGTGTGAATGGAGGGGTCTGTTCAAGCACACAAAAGATGGTTCTAAATTAAATGTCCATGGATGAGAATTATCGCTTTGCTGATCTACAGCACATCAGTTAGTGACCACCAACAATGCCAAATTAGCATTTCTAGGGCATAGATCTGATCTGTGCTATACATCTGATTTAGGAGAGGATCACAGCTGGGGAATGGCTCTCTGTGCACTGACTGCAAAAGGAGGCTGAGGAGCTGGTGTGAATGGAGGGGTCTGTCTAAGCACACAAAAGATGGTTCTTAATTAAATGTCTGTGGATGAGAATTACTGCTTTGCTGATCTACAGCACATCAGTTAGTGACCACCCATGGTCAGTGCAGGTTTGGGTTAAGAACAGCCAGGTAAATCTGGTCAGATACTTCGACACAAGTTATCTGCAAGCCAGCTGAATAGTACAACTAATACAAAGGAATGGGATGAATTTCATTTTTAATGATACCTTGCAATGAAATGAAATGCAATGAAACAGGATGGAAGTGGGTTTGATGAAGTGATGAAAAACAAAGCCAAACCACCCCCTGGTGTAACATCCATCCACCATCTGACTGTGCTCACCTGTACTTCAAGAGGAGCTTCAGCATTACTGAGCGGATGATGGGAGTTTCATCCACTTCATCGTTAAACGGGGACAGAAGTTTTGTGTAGATAGCAGGGAGATCTGTGGAGATAAGAAAAAGACAACTTTGGGAGGTGAGAGGAAGTAACAAAAGAATCAGCTCCGTGAGGCTGAGCGACAGGACAAAGGGAGCTCACCTGAACCTTTCTGGAGACTCCTGTGAACAAACAGCAGATTAAGGAGCTCCTGGATGACGTCTGTGTTGGGGGGCTCGTTATCCTTGAAGCACATGGTAGTGACCATGTCTATGAAGAAATTATTGCACCTCTGCCGGAACAGGGCATTTCTTGCAATGGCATCTCTAGGGGAAGGGTGGAAAGCATTAGGACAATGTTCAAATACCGAACCACTTAAATAATGCTCGAAGCGAAGCAGACAACAGGCAAAAGTCACCAAGGTGAGGTATTTTTCCAGCTTTCCAAAACGTTGGATCTGTGCAACACTTCAGTAGCATTGACTGCAAAGGCTCTATCGCATCAGCAACTAAGATCACAAATGGCAACGTGATGCCAGGTACATTTTCCAAGAGATTTTTGCTAAGCTATCACAAAGCCATCCAAGGTGACAAGCCCGATTCAGCCCCTGCTGAAGTGCTTTAGCTTTAGAGCTACAGTTTTCTTACAGGGGCCAAGGCAACTTCCTCCCTTCTTTTGAAGCAATAAACAGAGAATGGTCAGGGCCTGTTCCAGTTGCAGAAAGAGCAGAGCAGGGTTCCCTCCACCCATTTCTGCTTGTGTTGACAAGTTCAGTGAAGCTGAATTCTGTGTGTCAGAATTCCCTCACGCAACCAGCCCCACCACACAGCTTCCACCTCAGACAGCCTGGAGGTACCTGAGCTCCACGGAGACATCTAAATCAACATCCTCCAAAGCAGCTCTGCAGTACGGACAGTGCATCTGTGCTGGTACTAGCCACGTTCTGATGCACTTCTGACAGACCACGTGGGAACACGGCAAGCAGACCGGGTCCTTTGGCTCTCTGAAGCAGATTGGACACTCCTTCAGATCACATCTGTATTTCAGAAACAGCAACAAACACAAATGTTCAGTGTTGTCCTACCAAAAGCCTTCAAACAAGGCGTTGATCTGCACCTAGCCCAAGAAGAGATAATTTAGGATTTGTTGGCTAACTGCTTAGCTTCAGGGTGCAGAGCAAAAAGGAAGTCATTGCTCTTGGTTTGGCAGTGATGACACTGTCCCAGCACTGCCTGAGACCCAGAAACATGCTGGCAGCACAGGCAATATTCCTACAGAGCCCGGGGCCTGTCTCAATGTCACTACCTGTAGAGCCTGTTGCTGACTTCATCTTTGCATTGGCACAGCACTTTCATCACTGCAACGAAAGTTGGATGAGTCTTCATGTCTGAATCGTGCTGAAAACACTGCAGAGGAAAAGGACAAGGCAAAATGACTCAGCTTTAACACCAGAGACAAAAAGTCCCATGGTCAGCAGGATCAAACAGGGAAGAGGTAAAATCACATCTTTGCTTACCTTGGCAAGAAGCAAAGTGTATTTTTTCACTAAGTTCTCAAATTCTGGCATCAGAGTGTCGATGCCAACCAGCACGTGTTCTACAAACAGAGCCATGGAGAAAACCCGGTTCCAGCAGACCCTGTGGGAAGGAAAACCTGATTTGAAACAGTACAATTATGAGCTGAGAGCAGGAATGGAAGTGCAGCATCAGGTTCAGCAACTGAGCAGCTTCCAGCCTGCACTAATACTCTTGTTAACAGCAAGGCAAGAAATCGAGATTGTGAGCAGGTCTGTGATACATACTTGAGCTCTTTTAGCAGCCGATGGCACAAACTCCCACTCCTCTGCAAATCCTTCTCTTTACAAAGGAATTCAACAGGCATTTGAAGATTCTTCACTTTCCGCAGCCAGGTCTCTGGACGTGCTGTCTCCACTTGATTCTGCAGCTCTTCAACACATCCAATTGCAGCCAACACATCCAAAACCTACAGACACACACGGGGTGTAAGAATAACACAACAGTTGCAGTTCAGAATGATTGATGAACCTGGGGCTCTCAATCTGGTTTGCTATAACGTGTTCTACTGAGTAATGTTCTACTTCATTATCTTAAGCTCTGGAAATCTCACACTCACAGCTCAGATCATTAGCACATCCTATTAACCCACGCGAAAGCAGCAAACTATTTTAAATCCAATGATAACACAGCAGATTATTCCTAATACTGAGGATCCCGACTGAGCTCGTGGGTCTCACTTCACTATCGCTGAAATCAAAAGGAGACTGAACACTAATTCAGAGAAGACAGAGCTTTCTGCTAAGGCTGCAGATCACAAAATGCCTGGTAGTGACTCTACCATCTCCGAACGTGGTATTTCATGTCCTTCCTGCTGAAGAAGGCAGTGAGCTACATGGGGGTGGACAGCCAGGATCCTGGAAAAGTTCTGCAGGCGGCTCTTGAACTGATTGTATCCAAGGTGGACCCAAGGCAAGGATGGCCCTGTCTCCTCTCTTCTGGGAGATGTTGCCTTCAATTCCTCTACGCAGGATGAGAACGCAATTTGCAGACACTGAAAGTTTAGAAAGAAAGTTAAAATCAAAATCAAGAAAGCATTTTTCGAATTCATTTTGTACTGGAAATCCTGACAAAATTCTCTGAAAGAAGAGAACCCATGCTTTACAAAGAGAGCCTTAGATGATGTGTCACTTGTTACAGGTGCTGCCATGGAATCAGCAGCCATTTGATGATCATTTGTGGCCACCGTGCTATTAGTCCATCTAAGAGGGGTTGGGTTGGAGAAGGCAGGATTGATACAGAATGGCATGTTCACAGGCATTGTGCTCTTCTCTCCATCCTCTCCATCGTGCTCTCATTCCAGACACTCACCTTCAGCTCCTCGGGGGAGGACACACCGACAGTCAAGACAATAAAGTCTTTGATATAGCAATGGAAGAGCATCTGCCTGTCTTCCTCGCTCAGAGCGGAGATAAATTTTCCTAGTGCAGTTTCCTGGAAGATATCCACAAACTTCTCAGCTTGGTCTGGAAAATGAGAATGCAGAGAAATGCTGAATATTAGGAGGTGGCTGGGCTTGACATAGCTTCTATCCTAAAGAGACTGACACCTAATTAATCACCGATGCATACAGCACTCCCCTCATTTCGAGCACTCACAAGGGATTTGAGGCCAGGCCTTCTCAGCCCAAGAACCAGTGCTGTATTTATGGAATCTCACCTTGTCATTAACTCTTGGCATCAACCATAGCATTTTGAATACAAGGGCACAGAATATATGAGAAAGACTAGTAGCAAAAGGGGAAAGAAAAGCTCGTTGCACAAAGCTCTGCCGGCTCACGTGAGCCCAGGGGGATGGCAGGTGACTCCAGGGTCACAGAAACACAGAATCATGGTGGTGACAAACCACAGTTTACAGGGCACTGGATGGAGATGCTCTGTGTCACCAGCTCAAGCCAGGCTCTCACCTCCAGTGGTTTGGATGTACTGAGCTGTCAACCACATGTCATCCAAGTATTCCTTTATCCTCCAGCTGAAGGGCATCTCGCTGCCAGCAGACATCGTCACATTGTTCTGCACCAGAATCACCTCAGGCTGAGAGCTAGGGGATTAAAAGGTCATTAATGCACTGGGCTTTTGTCTGGGAAACACATTCAGACAAGAGGCAGGAAGCTGCAGAAAGCAAGAAATTAGCCCTAGAAGGGGATGAGGGAAAGGGAAAGAACTGAAGGACTCATTAATACAGCTCATCCTGCCGACCATGCAGCATTAGGGCTTACTCAGTGTTCCCTGGCCAAAGGGCTGTAACAGCAGGACACATGGGCTCCAAGGTCTAGGTAAGAAGTGTGAGCATGCCAAGAGAGAGAGAGCAAAAGCCCAGGAGAACTGGGGATAAAGCAGAAAAAAAAACCAGATTTCTGAAGTCACCAAGAACTGCCCTGCTGCCCTCGGCACAGCACAGGGGAGCAACCAAAGGTTCATCTCCCATGTGGTGCAAGTGCCAGCAGCCAGGACCTCCTGCAGCTCCTCTCCAGTGCTCACCTGCTCTTACCCACACCGAAAGGGACACTCAGGAGTTTTGTGTCACTGAAGATGAACATCCACAGCTTTGTCACCCACTCAGCTGCCGGCTTGGCCAGCAGCTCCAGATTGCCATTTCTGTCTACGAGAGCAATCAGGAGAGCCAGGAATGGAGTGATCACGTTCTGGACTCGCTTCCACAGGGTGTGCCTTGGGGGGCAGAAAGAAACCAAGAAACCCAGAGGGAAGGTGAGCAACGATATCAGCAAATCAGGAGGTGCTTGTCCTGAAAAGCTGCTGACATTTGCATGTGAGAAAGGTCTAATCCTGCTTTTAAGGGAAAAACCACTACCAGCAAAACACCTTACACTTCTCTCACTCGTGGCTCACCTGTCATCCCACTGTTGCACTCAAAGCACTTATGCATTTATCCATTCCTGTCCCAGTACAGCCCCTTCAGCTCTAAGTCACCCTCCCTCGGGAGCCAGGAGAGGACAAAACTGCCTCCAGCACAGACCGGTGACTAACGCTGCAGATATTCAGATTACACAAAACTGCTGTCTCTGCTGCACAGTTGCCATTTGCAGAGTTTTCTTGGAAGGTTGCAGGATACGAGACATTGCTGCTGTCCTCACCTGAAGGTGCCAGCCTCCTGGAGAGCACTGAGGTTGGAAGCCTCCCGAAGCACCCAGTTTTTTGGGTGAAGGGAATTTTCTTCTTGTTTCTTCAAAAGGTTGGAGAGACGAGCCTTTGTTATCTTCAGGAAAGAGGCTAGAAAACAACAGGGAACTTGCGTTTTCTCTTCTATTGGCATTGGATCCACATCCAAATATCACATCAAGCACAGCATTTTATAGTTGTTTCAATAATCAGCCAGCTGGGAAAAAGACCAGGCACCAGTGCTTGCACAGCCCAAGAAAAAGTAATGGCCTGAGCTCCAGAAAAAGCCCTACAGCCAAAGGAGTGACAGACTGGAACGCAGACACACACTCTCTTGGGAGATTGCCTGTGAGATCCTCGTTTATGCTACAGCCAGGACCAGTGGCCTTTGGATGCCCAGTGTTTTGGTGGTCCCCCAGATGCTCAGCGACACCACCTCCTGCAGCCAGCAAGCACGTACCTTTCAAGTCATCCTCTTTGGACAGAAGGCTAAGGAGAATGTTAATTCGCCTTGTGCTTCGTTTCAGATCTTCGTTTTGGTCCTGTAGCATCCCCACAGCACTTTGTACACAGGTCCTGAGGAGCACAGTGGTGTCCAGCATTTCACCCTTCCCAGGAACAGTATGAAAACAAGTTCATTACTCTTTGGTGTTACACCCTTGCCCCCAGGACATCCCTCTTAAAACGCTTATGGTGGTCTCTTGAAAGGGCCTGTGCCCCCACATCCTATCTCCCAGATCTCCTCTCAGCAAAAGAACTTAGATTTGCAGTCTATCAAGTACACGATGCAACTTCTGGGGCCCTTTCAAATTGGCGTGTAACACAGCATTTGTATTGAGCTAAGATTTGTATGGGGGAAAATTCAGCAGTTCAGGAAAAAAAATGGAAATGATACATGTGGCCAGGGAGAATACACCCTCTCTGGGAGATCCTTAGAGGGGCAAAAGCCCCATGTAGTCACCCTCATATAGGGCATCCTCCCGCTGATGCCGTCAGGGCAACCTGAGCCAGCCCTAAGGCAGCTGCAGCGCAGCAAAGCCCAGAGCCAGCTCCAGCAGGGCTCAGACCCACACCTCAGAAAGCACAAACTGCTGGAGTGGCTGACACAGAACCACAGTTCCCAGCTTCAGGGTGCAGATTTTAAAACCAATTTTTGAAAATTAAGAGTATGAGAAGACTAAGGAATTAGAGGGTCCTTAGAATGGCTTATTTCCTTAATGATGCTGGCTTCAGCTGGGCTGCAGGGGGAGGAATTTGTGTCTGATCATTAACATTCACGATGCAAATAATATTCCTGATGAATTTCAAGTGGATGGGGATGCAAAAACTGTGTTGCACCTACTCATGGAAAAGAGCAGAAAGCCAAACTGAGAGCTGAGCAGCAAACAAATGGATTCTGAACTGACCTCATAGTGCTCTGCTTCTGGCACTGGTGTTTCAACGTCCACCTCGTTTTCCTCCTCTTCCTCTCCATTCACAGGCAGAGCTACAAGTGAGGTGTAGAACTTTTATTAGAAAGGAGGAATACACTTCCACATCAGTCAGATGAGAATCTATTTAGCAACTGCAACCCAGAGCAGCAGAACATCTGTCAGAGATCCATTATCACCTGCAGGAATAGCTGAGATCCACCTCTCTAAAGGCTGCGAGGGCTGCCAGGCTTCATGCAGCAAGAACTGGAAAGAATAAGACACTCAGAGCTAAGACACTAAGCTCTAACAGAACCCTGTAAGGCAGTATGGTGAAAGGAAAAAGTGTAAGAAAAAAATCGAGAGGAAAGAAAAAGTCTTTTCTAACCTTCCTACAGATTATATATTCACGTGAGTGAGATTCTCTGGAGTGACTCCTCATCAGCAGTCTTTGCCATGCAGCATCTGCTGCCTCCTGTGCTGAGACAGAGTACTCAGGGTGCTGAGCAGTGCAGATACCACATTTTTGTCAAAAGAAAAAGGGGAAACTACCAAATTAACTTACTCAATGACCCAAAGTTGCGGTAACAAACTAAATACAAGTCAGTAGCCATGTGGTGACTCTCACAAAAAACCAGATATTGAGTGGGATAAAATCACTAGATGTGTGGTACCAGGCAAAAGTTCCACTAACACCAAGTCTGGGCTGGCATCTCCCCTGTTCCCCACTGGCACATCACCACCAGTGGCTGGCACGGCCAGCAGGAGCTCACCTCTGGTTTTACCCGAATCCTCACAGAACATCTGGCTGATGGTGAGGTTCTGCAGCGCTGTCATATCAGAGATCATGTCCTTGGACGTGCGGAGGTCATCGATGTGCACCGACTGCCACAGTCCTAGAGGCAGAGGACAAAATAAATCACTTCCTGCCTGCAGTATACTCTTCTAAAGGAGCTTCTCAAGAATTATCTCCCAGTACCTGTGAGCTAACAGTTCACATTCAAAGCTCACTTACTTTTGCTTCTTGATGTAGAAAGGGAAAGCAGCAATTCCCTTACCATGCCAATGCCCACTCCCCTGAGCAGCAGGGCACACACACTGCCAGGGTTTGGAGGCTCTCAGAGCCTACCACACACAGCAGGAACCTTGCTGCTGGAAGCAGAACACATCAGCAGGTACCCAGGAGCCTTCTGGAGGACAATATGCCAATGCAGTCAGCATCATGCTTGTCTGCTGCTCTCCAGCTGGCTAGAAAGAGGACTCATGGGTCAGTGGGCAAAGCAAGGTGCTCTCACAGAGGAGACTGGAAATCCAAGGTAGGGACCTCCCTGTGGGTAAGGGAAGCAGCTCTGACAACCCACAGGACACACTGATTCCAGATTTTAAGCATTAAAAAGGAAGGTGAACAAGAGAAGCATTGCTCTGGTGTGTTTGCCTGAAGCCAGCTGAAGAGCGAGGAACACCAGATGGCCAGACCCACCTCCATGGAACCCCACGTAGGATGTTCCTCCTTGCACCCGGGAAAGCTTCATAATGAAGTAGACAAAGACAGAGACTTCTCCCAGGTCCACCTTGTTGATTTCATTAACAACGGTGTATCTGCAAGAGGGGAAACACTGTTGACAGACCAAAGACAGACAGAAATTCACAGCCACAGGTCTTTCCTCTGCAAGAGAGGACACATTTCCCCCAGCCCCATACAGACATAAGCGACCTGCTCAGTCCTTCCTCCCTGAGCCACCACCTCTCACTGTGCCTCGAGTGACCCCCCAATCCTCAGCTCCTCAGGATTTTTGCAGCCAACAGCAAGAACTCACACTTCAGAGGGGATTATCTGCTAATTTGACCCATCCTAGTTGATATTGACTTGGGTCATCAATTATTATTTGAAATACAAGTAGTGCTTCTAGATTCATTCCACTACAGAATAAACAAAACCAACACATTCCTGATTCTGAAATCCCCAAACCAGCACTAATAATCAAACGGTGATGAGGAGCCACCAAGCAGAAGAGCTGGGAACCACTTCACACTTGACTTACTTGGCTGAGGCAACGAGCTGGGCATTTTGAGAGCCATCTTCAAAGTCTGTCTGAATGATGAGGACTTTATTCCCTGATGTGGCATCAAGGAAATCTCTGAAAGGGGATTTAAAAGTCACAAAGTGTAAAAACAGAACATTAAGGACAGCAGTAGTCACCACTCCACACCAGCTCTGGCTGCTGCAGGCAGGAGGAGAGATTAAAACACCCACCCTACAGAGATGCTATAAAACCCCATCTCGGTGTAAGGGAACTAACAGAGCTTGCACCGAGCCAGGCCATGGCTCAGCACAGCCTCTCCCCTCCCTTTTCCACTCCTGTTACTCCAAATGTTCTGCCCACCCGTCTCCCCACAGGTGATGGCCTCTCCAGAGCAGGAAAAGGCAAAGCCAGACTCACCGGATGCCCTTCAGGAAGGAGTATTCTGTGTCAAACTGCTGCAGGAACAGGATCTGAAGGCTTTGTACCTTCCCCTGTACCTCTTCCTCCAGACAAGCCGTGTCAGCGCTGGTGAGAAGCCTCGAGAAGGTGGTGACCTGGGAGTGTGAGATGTAGGTTTGGTCTTTGCTCGGGAACGCAGCAGGAAGGCAGCAGAGACTCATCTGCGCTCCCAGATACTGCTGACTTGCTGCAGAGCTGGACTGCACCCCAAAAAAACACATTTATGTGCCCTGCCAGTAGGCAAAGGGTCACCATGGGCTGTCACCTCAACCCAGGGCCACTCCTGAGCAGATGGACACAGTGACTCTTGGTGTTGCTGGAGACAAGGGGCAGCTGCGAGGGGACAACCAAGGGTTTGAGGAACTCATGAAGCCCAGGAGCTTCCCCGCAGCATTCTCAGGGGCAGCAGGTCCAGCCCCAGGGGAAAGCACATTGTTTCCATGTGAGACAGGAGACAGACATTCTTCAGCCAAATCTCAGCTGAAGTTCTTTAGCTTTGGGAGTAGGCTCACAAGATCTCTGGCTCTTTGTGGCTCAGCTGGGTTAAAATCTTTTGCATCTTTAAGACCAGAGGCAGAAACAAAGAAATCAGAGTTCAAAGGCTCCTGACGACGTTTTCTCTTTTGCTGGCTGTGTTCGTGGAGACAGAACTACTTTCAAAGTGGAGAAATGCATCAGCTGCCCAAAAGCACTTAAAACCCTCACTTGCTATGGAGCACCCAGTACTGCTGCACGCACAGCAGAGGTATGAGATTCCTCAGGATGCAACACCACATCCCAAACACCCACCTCTGCCCACCTGGGCACTAGAAGGCAAGGCTGTTACCCAGTTTACACAGATGCAGCCACAACGCAGCCCCAGCAGCAGAAACCACAAACCTCAGTGCCAGCAGGGCGGGTTTAGAGGGGACACTGCAGGACACTCACCTCCGTGAAGACCGTTTGGCGCCCAGAGCCCGCCCGGACGTGGGCTCGGAGGAATTCTGCAAAAGACATGTGCTGCTGCTGCTTGAAGTATATCTTGGCCAGAGACTCTGTCATAAACAGCCTCCCCAGGTGGCAGAGGCGGATGACGGAGTCTGGGGTGGCACAGTTGAGCAGTGCCAGCTGAGCATCCTTCTTCACGCGGGACAGGAGTTCATCAGGAGGGCACACGGGTTTCAGCCTTTCCGTCGTCTGCAGGACCACCGAGGCGCAGGTGTTGGGGTGGTAGCCCACAAACACATCACAAGGGCTGTATTTCTGCTCGCTCATGAAGAGTTCTTCTGTATTGGCTGCAGTGAAATCATCCACCCACTTCTTCAGCTCTTCCACAGCTTCTCTTTGCCACTTGTCCAGGACAGTGCTGATATCCAGGTAGTGCTTTTCCAGCCGGTTGATTAGCGGGATGGGAAAGTGCTTATATACCACATCTTTCTCCTCGATGACGATCAAACGGAACTTTGGGTGCACCCGACACTTCACCCGGTGGGTGCCCAGGCCCAAATCAACATACTTCTGGCCGGCCAGGTACACGTAGTACTGATTGAGGGCATCGTAGAGGCTTTCATAAAGGTTTTGCAAGTTGAGGAGCACAACCATTTGGCCAGTTTCCATGCAGACCTTCACGCGGTTGATGTTCCTGCATATCTGGGTATACTCTTGGTCCTTAGGGAAACTGGAGCCAAAGATAATTTCTGGCTGTTGCCGGGCGGTAAAGAAAGCTTGCTGGAGGATCTGCAGCGCTGCGTAATTCTCAGTCAACACGAGCAGGTACCTGCAGTCACCGTCCTGACCACTGCTGTAAATGTTCTGTCCTACCAGCTCAATTCTACTGATATCACCAGCATGTACTTCTCCTTTTTCAGGTAACTGTGAGGTGAATATTTCCAAGGCATTGACATTGTCTTTGCCGCCAAAGTTACGAAGAACGACTGTAGCTACGTCTTGAGGTGTGGGCTCACTTTTGGAGCTCTTAGCTAAGGCAAAAAACATCTTTATGAGGCTGTAGTAGTCACGTAGACCAAAGAACTCCCTATCTTGGGCCTTGCAAATATTTTCATATGCATTTGCAAAGTGACGAAAATACGGTTCAACCTTCTGCAAAGCCCCTCGGGCCGAGGAACAAATCCCCTCGGCGCTTTTTATGAGCTCTTCTTTGCTGGGGTCACCCCGTGAGACAAAGATGCCTCGATTCATTTTAGCAGGGTCCAAAGCCCAGTTGGAAATGCCAATGAAGCCAACTTTTTTGTGAGGAAGAGGGACATCATCTATGCAGCCGTCTTCCAAAAGGGGATGCAGAGTCTTCAAAGGCATTTTGGGAGAGTCTTCTGCCAGCCCAATCTCATCCAAAACCACCACCGAGACATACTCCTCTAAGTTCTTCCCTTCCTGGAACCGAGCACAGTGCTTGAAGGTGCCTATGATTCCTTCCGGAGTGGAGAGGGGGCTGCACTGAAAAGACACGAGATGGATTTGCTTCAGGTCCTTGAACAAATCTGAATGAGCTGCTTGGCCCTGCATAGCATCGGCCACAATGGTTTTCGCAAGGGATTTGGAGCTCCCAGGCTTCCCGACAAGAAAAAGAGGGATTTTCAACTCAATGCAGATAACCATCATAAAGACATTTTCCTTCAAGGCCAAATTTCTTGCTATGGTGTCTCGGAGGCGCACACCATTCAGAAATAAGTCCTGCATCAGGGAGATTTCTTCCAAAATCTTTTTTTGGGTATCATAAGGTTTTGGAAGGACCCGGCTGATAGCACTCCTATATGGCTCCTTCTTTTCTAAGGACGCGTGATAGCAGACCCCGACTGCCAGCACCAAGGACCAGATAACGGTGTTTCTCTCAACAGTGCTCTTTGGATCTTTCTTCTCAGCAAGGTACTTCTCCAGTTCTCTCAGCAGGAGTTTGCTGCGTTTGTGGAACCACTTGAACACTTCCATGCAGCGTTCCACGTCCCGCAGGCTGACGAAGCTGCACTCATCGTCCCTCCGCCTCATGTATTGCTGGGAAGCAAAAAGCACTTCTGTGATCATCTCTGCCTCCGCCTGCGTCATCGGGACGTGCTCCTTAACTCTTTGTACGATCTGCTGTATGTATATTTTTTCGGTGAAGTTGTTCAGCTGCCCAAAGTCCCACACTAAGGGGATCATGCTGGGTGGAAGCGCGTGGACCCGATACACAAGCTGTCTCAGCGGAATGGATCCAAGCTTCTCCTTTGTCTCATCTGCTTTGACACGGTAGCCCAGTCCAGCCAGTTCCAGGCGCTGAATCATCTTTGGTGTGTGCTTTCGGTAAGGGTTGCAGGCTGCTATGATCCTCAGGCCAGAGCAGGAGACCAAAGGCTTCCCCTGCACCGTGCGGTCACACAGAACTTCCTTGATGCTGCTTATGGCATCTGTGGTGTTGGCTTCGTCGAAAAAGAGGACTGTGTCCAACCCGTGCTGCTCCTTATTGGTTTTAGCAAGGGCTTCTGCTTCTTTGATCCTGGCATAAATCATCTCTGCAGTTGTACCTCCATGAACTTTTACAAGCTTCATGTTCTCTGTCTCTGCATAGCCTCTGCGTAACTTGCACAGGAAATTGATGAGTCTTGTTTTCCCACAGCCTGTTTCTCCCATGATGACCACTGGGATGTTGCACCTGAACCGCATCTCGATAGCCAAGATTTTCAGCATGTTGTCTGTTGTGAGCTCGTATGTCTCATCAGGGTCCGTTACCCAAGGGATTCCCAAAACCATGCAAAGCCTCTCCAGCTTCTCGTAACGAGGCAACTGATCAAATGGAACATTGAAGGGAACTCTTTGGTTTAACAAGCCCTGGTACAGCTGTGAAGTCATGACGTTTCTCTTGATAATGTTGTCATTCAAAGGATTAATGGCATCAACACCGCCCCTGTTATTAGGCTGAAAGTGGAACCCAATGAATGTCATGGACACACGATCTCCATTGAAAAACAAATATGGATGAGGCTCAGACTCCCACTTTTTCCGAATGCGGAAAGGAAGAAGATCTTCTTCAGCAACATTCTCCAGATTGGAGGACTGCCTTCCTGAACTCTGATCAGAAATGTTTAGGGAAGGTGTTGCAAAATCCCTTGCCATTAAAATCATGAAGCCAACAACAAAGTTTTTGAATCCTAGCAAAGTGTCCTGGATAAAGTCAGGGTTGCAAAAGTCAGAATCTTCACAGTCTTTCAACTGAACGTTGAGAAACCATGTGAAGTTTCGGAGCTCTAACCAGGAGGGGTCTGTGACCCCGCAGTGCAGGAGGAACTGCTGCAGGCATTCTGCTGGGCTCCCTTCCACAGAGCCCTCTTTGTAATAGAACGTGTCCAGATTGTGCCCCTGGTCATATCTTTTCAGGTACTGGAAAGGTCTCTGGAAAGTCTCACTGTGAAATTCCTCCTTGTCCATTCCTGGATCTGAAATGTCCCCAGACTGGTTCCCAAGTGTCTCCATTTCTAGTACTTCCTTGGGAGATTTGCACGTTACTTTAGGGAAAACATCAAGGAAATTATACTTCTGGCTCACCGACTTCTGGAGTAGAAGAAAAGAAAATATGTCATCACAAAGCTGTGGCTTTTAACCTTCCTCAGCTTGTTTAACCTGTTCCTAACAGTGTTCTTGCCTAAACTCACAGACCTAACTAACAGCAGCTACCCTGTACAGCCAGGACACTTCTTCCCCAGTGCATCACTTCTTCAGCTTAAAGTGCATCACAACAATTCATCCAGTTCCCTCCTGCAGTCTCCTCCCTGTAACATCAGCCCGTTGGTACCTCCAGCCCCTTCTCAGTGCTACCTCAAAGAAAATGAAAACTAAACCCAAGAAATTGTTATTTATCCCTGTCACTCCTACACTCTGTTCTTACAGCTGCAGATAAATATGTTCTAGTGCTTTCAAATATGCAAAGTAACACGAGGAAGATTAGATTCTGCATTTTTATGTCTCCTGTAAATGTTACAATGGGGCCAGTGAGGTTTGGGACTAATGGGCCTTCAAAAATTACCAACGCAAGAAAATCACACCAGGTATAATTTACTGTATGGTTTTAACATCACTTTGTACCACACCAGGGACAGCACTCTGTAATGGAGAGGCACAGCAGAACACAAGGGGAACAGGGAATTCCTCTGCTCTGGTTACAGCTACAGTCTCTACAATTCATATGCAGCTACACACAAACATATGCACAAAATGAGTGAGAAATTCAAGGAAGCCAAGAGTTGCTGTGTACGTACGTGTCGTGCTGCTTTGTTTGGCACCAGTGATACCTCGAGGATTTCGATGATATACAAATGGCACTTCTGTCGTAGCCAAATATTTCCATTATTATCTGTCAGATACTGCAAAACCAACAGCTTGAACAGAAACTCTGGAATTCCACTTTGTACCTGTCACAAGGAAAGGGACAAATGCATTTCCTCTTTATTTACTCAGCATAACTTCACCGCGTCATAGAACAGTTGAGGGTGGGAAGGATCTCTTGACACCCCTGCTCGAAGCAGGCTCAGCCACAGCAGGATGCCTAAGACCACATCCTGTCAGGTTTGGAATACCCCCAAGGTTGGAGACTCTACAGCTTCTCTGGGCAACCTGTTCCAGAGTTCAATAACAAGAAAACAAGTCCCAATGAAATGCCTTACTAAGAAACAAAAGCTTTAAAGAAACAACTTCTGCAAGGATCCACACAGAACTTCTAGGACAAGGCAGCTGTGGGAGGGATGTACTTACTGAAGAGGTGATATCAAAATGGAATATCATGGGCTTTGTTTGGTGTTTTCTCTTCAGAAAAGGCAGCAGAGATTTTAATACTTTATCTTCATCCACTTCTGGTTCAATTAGTCTGATGGTTTTCAGAAGTTTTGTATAGTCAGGCTGCTCTTCTTGCAGTCTCTCATGGAGCCTCTTCACATATAGAGATTTCCCTGTTATCATAAAGAAACATCACAAGAATTAAAGCCATCAATATCAAATTAATCATATTAAGGTCAAAATAGGAAGAAGGAAGTCAGCTGAGGAACAGGGTAAGAATGCAGCAGACACAGAGTGACTCTTTCCCAGTATTTTTTCAGAGATTTGCAGCTCAGAAGCTCCCATGTCGGAGACAGCATCTTTGTGCTTAAGAGCACATGATGGATGTTTCTCTCATAACTATAACTAATCACTTTTTAAGCTTGTGTAACGCTTTGGGCTCCACAGCTTAACTAAGCACTGTTTGAAGGGCCACCTTTTTCTGTTTGCTTTCCAGCCTGCCAAGCGGTTTTACTCAACGCCCTCCAGCTTTTTGCATTAAGAGACAGCCAACAAGCATTTCCTACGCAAGAAAACCAGGCAGGCTTTACAGCCCTTGTCTCATCTCACATCTATTTTCCTGCAGGGATATTTTAACCTCAGGAAGGCAGATTCATCCTGTCCAAAATTAGCTATCTAGTTTATGTTAATGATATAAGTCAGCAGAAAGAGGCAGGTGTCAGATTAGGAAGATGCACCATCTGTAGAGATGGCATCTCGGGACAATGTTGAGTTGTCCTCACAGCTTCCACCTCACTCCACTCACATAGTCTGAATCATTCTTTTTCACTAGATACTTATGACTTGGGCAGAAAACCTGGCAAGGTGAGCCCCACTCCAGTTTTTAAACACTCAGCAGACTCATCAGCAGACAGATGCATGGCGACATCTTACCCACGCCAGCTCTTTTGGAGGCCACGATCCCAACACACATGTTGTCCTTGAACACAGAAGCAGCCGAGGCTGAAGGCGCAGCCACCCTGTAGTGGTGCTGAAGGTATCGCTGGATCTCGGCTAACGGCCTCTGGGGGATCATGTGCACCTTGTACTGGCTGAAGACAGAGGGGATGTAGCTGTGCTCCCTCTCGCAGTTGCAGAGGATGATGAGGCGATAGGTGCTGCAGTTGTTGTAGCGCTGCAGGCGCTGGAAGAGCTCCTCGGCTCTGCGGCTGACGTCGTAGCTCAGCTCGTCTGCGAAGAGCATGGTGTAGATCCTCCCTCCTGCACAGCCAGGAATGAGGCACCTCCTGAGGAAGAGCCCCACTTGCTCGGCAGTGGTCTGAGGAGTGCACAGGAGAACCTCGTCAAAAGTGGGAAGGGGCTGGTCGGGGCTGTTCATGTAAATAGCCAGAGCAGAGGTGAGCACCTCGGAGCGAGGGCAGGTGATGAGGTTGGGCCGATCAACAAACAGAAGATCCTGGGGGAAGTCCCGCATGACACGATCTCTCTCCCTGCTGGCCAGATTCTTCAGCCACTCACCAAGCGTATCGATGTCCAGGCAGCTGGGAAGGAAGGAGCCCATGTTGTTCATGTAGCACTCCCAGATGCACTTGAGCTGGGTGGTCAGATCCTTCTCCCCATCCAGCATCACTTGGAAGTCAGAAATAGCCTTCCTTGAGCTGGGAGGCACCTTGTTGCTGGAGGCTCTAAGGACATCCTCCTTGGTGCAGTTGTGTTTCAGGAATGAAAGCATCATCAGGGCCTCCTGGCTGGGTGTCCTCTGCCCCAGTTGTGTGCACAAATAGACCAGCTGCTCAGCAGTGTAGTAGTTCAGGTAGAAATGCTGGAGTCGTTTTTCATACATGAAGCTTTTCCACCTCTCCAGAAAACTCTCCATTGTCTTGCAGAGGGCTGGGAGCACAGCTGCCATGTCTCCTTGCCCTTTTAGCTCCGGGATCAGTCCCAAAGAGAAGTTTATACGAACACACGAGTCAGTTTTGGGTGAACAATACACCTGGGCAAGCCAGGAGCGGAAAAGCATGTTTCCAGCTAAATAAAGATCTATAAAGGCCTGGGCAAGTCTTTGGACATTGGAAAAGATCTGTATGAAGAGAGAGGAGAGATTAAAAAAAAAAAAACTAAGTTGATTTACCAAGACAAGTCCTAGACATGAAACCACAGGAAAAACTTTCAATGAAAGTTTTTTAACAGCAGTATTCCCAGGAAACCAGGAAGGAATCCCCAGCTTGCTACAAAAGCACAGCAACCCTCCTGGGCAGGAGCAAGCCCAGTGCCAGCAGAGGATGAGGGTATCAGTCCACTCCCCAGTCTCCAGCTTAGTTCCACCTTAACAGGGAAGCAAAGTAGTAAGAAGATCTGTCTGCTTGCTACTATCCATCCCCAGCAATTCAGCTCTAAACCCCAGTCTTAAAAGCTAATGTTCCAGGCAAAAATCCAATCTCAGCAATGACACCAGTAACCCATTGGGTTTGAAATTCTGACCTCAGAGAACTTCTCCACCTCCAAGCCTTGCTCTCCCTTTGCTGACATGAGCATCAGCTTGTTCTGCAGCTCACGGAGCTCTGCCAGAGAGTATTTCCATGATGCCTCGTTATCCCCAGAGCTCCCCGGGAGGATGAAGCGTAAGACACTGTCCAGAGAAACCTGCCAGAGAATAAGTCATTAGCGCTGGTGTGCACAGAAGTTCTGCTCCTGAGGTGATGCTTTATGCCCAGCAAGGGGAACACTTGAGAGGAAGCAGCCCCAGAAAGGAACTGTGCAGAGCAGGAGACAGGTCACAGCACATTTCTGACAGTCACTGCCACACCAGCAGTGCTGGCTGCAGGAGGGGAGGGACAACCAGGCAGCCTCACCTTCTGGCCATCGGCCGGTGCTCTGAGGACATAGATTCCTCTGCTGTTGATGGCAGCTGCCAGTGACAGTGACGACAGCTCCACGGACCCATGGCTCTCTTTCACTGTTTTCAACCACTCCAAGTGCTGAGCTGAATCACGCTGTGGGAAGAGAAGACATGGCACTGCCCTGATAGCTCTGACCTGGCACTGCTTTCCAGGATCACCTCTGTGCTCAGGACAAACAGCTTGGGCTGGAGTAAGAGATTCACGGAGGGGGAAGGCAGAAAGGAACAACTACTGGCCACAGCCTTATCTTTCTGCACAGCTGCTCTTTACCAGCACCACGGGAGGCTGAACAAACAGAACCCACAGCGCTTCAATGCCTCTTGCTATAGAAACATGCCCTGCTACAAAGGAATAGCACAGAGTTCCCAGCCATCTGCCTTCCCTCTTTTTGCATCAGCTCCTGCAAGAGCAAAGCTACACCATGTCACACTCGAAAGCTCCAGCAGTGCTCTGGAGAGACTGGTAGTGGATCAGTTGCAGGTGCTGCAGTGAATTTTTGTGCCACAGAAACAGAAGATATTTTTCTTCCAACAACAAGAGCTGCTGTGATGGCCCCACACAAGTGCCATTTGCCCCCTGCAGTAAATCAAGGCAGAAACGCAAGAGGATGCGAGAGGACCTGCCCCAGCAGAACTCACCAGTTTCTTGGGAAGGTTCTCATCGCTGTCCAGGGCTCGCCACAGCTTCATCAAGCAGTGCATGAAGTCCTCAAACCCCGAGTCTTGCCGAAGCTCATAGAGCAGGGAAGAGTAGCCGTGCACAGTATCATGGAAACAGGCCACACGGTCCACATCCATGTCATTCTCCCCAGCAGAGATGGAGGCCAAGTCTACAAACACCTTCAGCTCATTTATATCTGCAATGAGATAAACACACGAATGAACAAATGAGGCAGCTTTAATGCAATTCCTCTGCAATTGCAACATCACCACCCCTTACAGAAAATGCAGAAAGAATGCCTTTGCAGAGCATCCTCTGTGTAACCTCCCTCCACCCATCCTGCCAGCAGCTTTGCCAGGAGACCCATCCACATTAATGACATCCTCAGCCCCAGCTTTTCCCTGCGTTGCCAGGAACAGTGGATTCCCAGCCAGGACAGGAGCAGTATGCAAAGGGTGTGTGTCTGTGCATGTAAGACACTGAGCTGGCAGACACACAACTAATCCTGGTACACGGATGGCCTCTGTTCTCTTAAATAACGGGTCTGAACTGAGCAGTAATAACTATGACAACCCTCTGGGCTGAGCCCAGCTGTGGGGCAGGGCAGCCACTGTCTGCTGCACGAGACTGCAGTGGCATGAGTGTGTTTAAAGGGACTATGTAGCACATTCCACTCCCAAACCCATTAAGAGATGCTCCTAACTATCAATATCAGAGGCTGTAAAGCCTAAAGGTCAGAGATAATGGCATTTCTTCTGCCCCCACGCACACTGGCATCCCTTCTGGCACCACCTGCCTGACTCCTAGGTGAGCAGCACACACCTTGCAGCGCTTCTCTGACCCAGCAGACGAACTCCTTTTGCTGGGCCAGCTCCCCCAGGCACTCCCGACGGCTGGGAGTGATCCCCTGCAGCAGTTTCTTGGCATGCACAAGCTCGGGGCTGATGGAGTTCAGCTTCTGTGACTTGTATGATTCAAGCTTTTCTGTCTAGAAAGCCAAGCGGTGAAAACAAATGTTCAGTCTCGAAATGGGAAATTCAACCTGTTCTCCAGCAAGGAAAGGAAAGCCCCTCTGCAAAGCCATACCCCAAACAGAGGAATACCATTTTTTCCTCTTTTAAGAAAGACTACACAAAATCATTTCATCTGAACATTGAATTTTTAACCAAAACAAGCATTTTGGGACAGGGAATGGCTCTTGAAACAGACTTGTGGGAAGCTTCAGATTTCCCCAAGTTTTCTTGACAGTACAGAGCTGAAGAAGGGGATACTTACTATGTCCAACAAGTTCTCCAGGACACCAAAGTCACCAGAGAGGTTTAAAATCTCTTTGACATTGGCAATGATCTTGGCAGCATCAAAAGTTATATGCATTTCGTGGTATTGCTGGATCTGCTGACATCGCTGATCCACCCAGTCTCTGCCTTCTTCAGGTGCAAGCCCACATACAGTATCTAGTTCAGTTTTGATATCTTCAGGATGAACTATGAATTCCCGGAAAATTGTATCAACTGCAGCAAGTGTGAGATTTCCAGATCTGAGATCACCATACAACCTTTCATAGCTCTTAAAACAAGGGGAGATTAGACCCCTGAAAACATCATTAAGGTGCAATACAGCAGCAGTGTTGGCCTCCTCCTTCTCCTCCTCCTCCTCCTCTTCTGAGCTTTCATACGCCCCTCCTGCCTTCTGTGCTGCTTCCTCCCAGAACTGCTGGAAGATCAGGCTATCCTTAAAAGAGTGCATTTTCTGGGCAAATTCTTTCAGCTCTGGGCTCAAACTGTAGTAGGTCTGTTGGGGTCTCTCATCCACATTCACAACTGTATTTAGTCTTTTTAAGCCAAGATCTTCCAAGTGTTGAAATTCCACTTCACCTACATCCACTGTAAAGAGAGAGAGACAGGTCAGAGAGAGCAGATGTCCAGTCCTGTCTCCAGCTCACTGCATAACCCCCCAGGTGCAAAATGCCACTGGGCATGTGGACCCCTACAAATATCATTTGAGGTGTAAGCGCTCATTTGATCCCTGAAACGCTCTAGGTTTACTTCCCCCACCCCTCCTCATCCTCGCTGTGGTTTAAAACAAGAGCTCTTTACAAAGCCTAGTCATTTTTAAAGAAAATCATTATTTTCTGGAGTTGCCACTTTCAAATCGCTCCCCCCCCCAAACCACTACCTTTCACATACGCCTGCGCCTTCCTGCACATGTTCAGAAAGGTTCCTATGGCTTTTTTCTCATTTCTGAGAAACGTTACTTCTTCTTGCCTCCTCTGCACCAAGTCCTTCAGTTGTTGGAGCTGTTCTTTGTCGCTGCTGAGCTGGTGCTCTGAAAGAAAACTCATCTGTAGTCACAAGGGGGACGCTTCCCACCCCCTGCGCCCATCACTCAGGGTTGGGTTTGCAGACTCCCCGCTTTCACAGGGAAATGCAGACACCACGACCTGGAGTTGGGAGCTCCATATAAAGGACAAGGACAAGGGCAGCACTGCTAACTGTTGAAGCACTCAATTAGCATTACTAATTACCAAAGCAGGTTAAGACAGTAGGCCATCGGTCACTAAGCCAACCACGCTACCTCTGAATAGTGCTTACTTATCTCCCAGATGCAGAGGAACTGTGTCTTGTGCTGGAAAATCTCCTCCAGATGTTTCACAAGGATGCACCCTTTCTGGATGTCACTGGTGACACTCGTAAGCACAGAGTCTGCTGTGGCCATTACGTTCTTGGCTTCATCTGTAAGTTTTTCTAGGAGCTCTCTGTTTGTTCCTGTTCCAGAAACAAAGCATGTAAAACCTAGATCAGCCCTGCTTCCCAAAAACCAGGCAGAATCAGTAACTATTCAACGTCACGATACAGAGTTCTCCCGTTTCCCATTCGAATCCCTACTCAAAAGTCTGTGAACTCATCACACCACTCTCCAAACCCCTGCACAAAAAAGCCAGGGTGTCAGGAAAGCAATTCTGAAACGTTCCCATGGAGAGCCTGCACCCAAAGCCTGGGGAGGAAACACGAGCCATTCTGATCTATTCACATGACCAATACTCTTGCATTTTTGTGTAGCAACAACTTATTAGAACTCTTCAGAGAAATAAGATATGTTCTGCAAATCCACTTGATCTACAGGTTCGTTAGTCCAGTACAAACCCCAGACCAGCTGCAGTGGATTAGCACAAGGGGAACACTCACTCCCCCTTAAACTTTCTTCTGCAAAACCAGGCTGAACACCTTGGGCTTTGAGACATGAAATAAAACAAGAGCAGGACAATTTTTACACATTTGTTTACTGCTCTGCAAAGTGGGAATGGCAAGGCAGAGAACAGCTTTTCATAGACTCTTACAAATGTAACTACCCAGACATACCATGAAAGCTGAAGATACGTTTGATGTCAGGCCACGTAAGCACATGGTGCAAAATCGTATCAAAGTCATCCTCAGGCTGCCCGTTCCTCATCGGCCAGGACTTCACAATGATCATTGACACAAGCTGGCTTAACTGGCTCATGTTGTAGGACGGTATCTTCTCGAGGAGATTGCTCTGCGTCTGCACGAGGCACACAGAGGGGAGGAATGCATCGGTGTTTGGGATTATACCACGTCCCCCTCTGTCTTGGGATCGGTCACCGATGCCAGGAAGTGACACCTCGGAGGTGCGGCTGAGGCACAGTCAATCCAAAAAAGTTTATGACATGACTGGCACCAGAAGCCACGATGGCAAAAGCATCACAGATATTTTCATGGACCCTTTTAAAGTCGATCCTTGTTTCCCAATTTCTTGTCAGTATTTTTTTTGTTGGTGGTGGTTTAACACACTTAAAGAATCGACAGCAACTTAAGCAATGTGCAACTCTCCTTCCACCACAATGCACAGCCCTATACCATGCAACAGGAAATGTGACATTGTATTTTCCCTTGAGGTAGGACAAGGTAATACCTGGCAAGCCACGGCTACAGCCTGTGTGGCACAGTTACAGAAACACCAGCCAATGGAAGAGTCAACTTGTTCAAATTCCAAGTGCTGACAGCAGTAGACTAAGACTTGGTTGACTGGAGGCTCCTACAGGGCAAAAGGCAGATTTCTCATCAAGTTAAAAGTTTCCGAAGTGTTTCCTCTCAAAGCACGAAGGAGCGCTGCTATTAAGACAATAAAAGGAACCAAGTAGAAAAATTTAAGTTTCCTAGTGGAGCCAAGCATCAGCCCATTTATGAGGGCCTGGAGGGGAGATGATCAGGGGGATGGAGCACCTCTGCTACGAGGACAGGCTGAGGGAGCTGGGGTTGTTCAGCCTGGAGAAGAGGAGGCTCCGGGGAGACCTAATAGCAGCCTTCCAGTACCTGAAGGGAGCCTACAGGAAGGCTGGGGAGAACCTGTTTAGAAAGGCCTGCAGTGACAGGACGAGGGGCAATGGCTTCAAGCTGGAGGGGAACAGATTTAGACTGGAGATGAGGAGAGGGTTCTTCACTGTGAGGGTGGTGGAGCACTGGAACAGGTTGCCCAGGGAGGTGGTTGAGGCCCCATCCCTGGAGATATTCAAGGAGAGGCTCGACGAGGCCCTGGGCAACCTGGTCTAGTTGGGGGTGTCCCTGCTGACTGCGGGGGGGTCGGACTAGATGGCCTTTGGAGGTCCCTTCCGGCCTGGGCAATTCTATGATTCTATGAAAAACAAATGAATGCATGGAAAATCTTTCTGTCTAAAATATGTGATTATTTAATATGCATCTCTTCAAGCTAAGCCTCCACCAGGAAATATTTGTTTCCTGATTATACCATGAAAATCAATGGCTTAAAGAATTTCACAACTGGTGGAAAAAGGAGATGAGGAGCTACACAAGTTCAGTTTAGAAGGGACCTACATGTTTGGATATGCATTTGGGAGCCTGGACAACACAATTTCTACAAAATGAAAAGAGACAAGTGCCAACTTTGCTTCTGTAAATCCTTGTGTGCTTACTTTACACCCACTCTTTCTTAAAACTATAGAAGAATTGCTCAAAGCATGCAGTTTCCTTTAAAGCATCAGGATATCATTCCCTGCTAGAAGCAGAGCAGCACCACAGCCAGTCGAGCTCTGACACCGAGAACACAGCACGGTACAGTTTCATCTCTAATTTTAGAGCCTCTAGAACATGGTTTATAACAGCAATAGCAATTTTTATCACCGAAGCCACGGTGTTTTCACGTGCCTATTTAGGCTTTAGAAGCTGTTCTCTAAGCACAGCAGACTGTCTCTCTGCTCTGGCCTTGGCAGTGCCTGCCTGATGTCCCCCCCTACCTCCTGAATCCTCCTCTCCAAATCCACAAGCAAAGTCTCCTTCCACGTCTCGGTGAACTGCTCGTCTGGAAAGCTAATCTTCAAAAACTCATTCCAGGCCTGTGGGTGAGAAGCAAACAAACCCAAAATGCTAAGTACCGAGATTTAATGTTCAAGTAAGTAAATTAAAAGAACTATGCCAAGGAGAGGCCCTGCGCTCCTCAGCCGGCCTGCGGTCCTTTCAGAGGTTGCCATCCAGAGAGCAGCACTCCCAGAGCTGCAAAAGCCAGCTTCTAAGCCCAGACAGTGTCAAAATGTCCCAGTTACTAGAGGAGACACTTGCATAAACCACTTCCACCTTGATGCTGGAAACTGGCCCCGGGAGGGCTGGGAGCTCTGTGGGCTGGAAGACCTGAAGGACAACCAGGACAACATGCAGGTGGGCGAGACAACAGCTCCAGCTGAACACCAACAAGGGGCAGCTCCTCATCCCAGCAACGTGTCTTGGAACAGCCAAGGAGAGCTCAGGTGAGGTGGGCAGCACCAGTTATACCGCTTGCTTTTCAGCCCAATAGTGTTTAAAACAACACAGCTTTTCAGCTCGGAGCCTGTACTGTCTGTCCCCATCTCACTCCTTACCCAGTTGCAGCAGCTACAGTAACCAGCAAAGAACCATTAAACTAAGGACTATACGGTTAAGCTACAGTAAAACCCCTTTTTATAGATATTATTAGAAGATGACAAACCCGAAGTTCCCAGTAAAAAGTGAACGTCACAGTCTGCAGGTGTTCTTTCAATAAATTTTTGCTTAAAGCACATCTGAACCAGGTTCGAGTTTCTCTCAGAGCTTCCTTGAATACTTCTACCACTGGAGCCTCCTGCACAGTGTCTCGTGGAGGCTGCTGCACACACGGGAGGAGGGGAAAAAAATGAGAATAGTTCAGCAGGAGAGCAACGTACAACTGATTTAAATAAGTATTTCTGAAAGGGAAGGTCTAGATGCATCCAAAGCACAAACACCCAGTGACAGAGACCCACCACTACTTGAATAAAGGACAGAGGGAGGGTGGGAAAATGCAACGCTTACAGATAGTTTATATTATAAAATGGTTATTAAAAAAAAAACCACAAAAAAGCAGACATAAACCAAAACCCATGACAGCCAACCTAGGCATTCGAACTTATTTTCAATAAGAATAATTAAAATCAGCTTTTTGAGAGTAGCACAAACTTGGTTAATTCAGACTTAATTTTTCCAAATCAAGAATGGATATGATCTAAAACCAGTCTGTTGTACCATTTTTGTAGTAATTCTAGATATCTTGCTCATTATCAACCTGTGAACAGTTCCTTGGTACTCACTGCTTGGGACTGAAGTTTGGCCACCTTTGAAACCATCGTGGCAGAAGTGGCAGGAATTGTGTACCACATCCCCAGCTTCAGGCACTTGCAGACCCTCTTGTGTATCTTGAGGCAACAGGTCAAGCAGGATTGCCAAAAGCCAGCTTCCAGAGCTCTGAAGGACAGAAGTAAAGAGGAAGAATTTTTTCTCTGTTCAGAAGGGGGGAAGCTGGGGGGAAGAAAAAAAAAAAAATAAATAAAAGCCCCACCAAATTCTATGCACACATTCAAGCTACAGCCATAACCCCACCCCACAGACACGGTGTAAATAAAAAGGATGATGCTCTCACAAAACACAAAAGCACACTTCAGTTACCTGGCCTGTTTCTCATCCAGGGTACACAGCAGTGCCTTTAGAAGACGATCTACATACTAAGAATAAAAAGACAGAAATATTAAACTGTGGAAGGAATTTTACAGACTGGTTTCTTGTTAGTTGAGGGGATGCCGTGAAAGAAGGAATTCAGTATTCTTCCATGCCCTCTCCAATGCTTTTATAAATACACTACAGAATTGCAAGAATTATTTCCTGGATGTCAGAGTCAACATACATAGCGCTTCTTACATTCCAGGGGTTTAAAATGTATTATATTCTTGCAAGGTGTAGTTCCTGCTGTCCTCACACAAATACAAGCATTTTCACAACAGGCAAGAAAATCTCTCAAACTGGCAGCATCTTGCCCAAACAAACCCAGAAGAGCTGTGCAAAAAGTAGTTTCAGGCAGCATTTGAGGATCTCAAGATTAAAATATTTGCCATCAGAGACCAAGAGGAAATCCAGATAAGCAGATCCTTCTCTCATCGACATCAACAACATTTTCTGCTACAGATAAACCCTCTAATCTTCTCCTAGGAGTGTCTCCTGCTTCAGAGCAACTATTTTTGCTTTTAGCTAAATTTTAAGCTCTTCATGCTCTGACCCACTGCCAACCACCTCCCCTACAGCGCCAGTTGGTTCTGCTAAAAGACACACCACAGCCCAGTTTCAGCCTTTTTCCATTCACTGAGTAAAGCTGCCAGAAGACAAACCTCATAAGTTCGCCATGGAAGGTCAATGTTCTCTAATCTGTAAGAAACTCCTTGAAGAGTGACTAACAAATCACTGGAGAAGCATCGGATAAATTCAACTAGGCTCTCCAGGGGCAGCACACACATCCAGGACTTGACCAGAGTCTTATCAAATTCCATCAAGTATTTCTTGTCTTTCATTAGTTGCAGTAGGGTCTCCCTGGAGGGAAGACAAAACAAAATCTTCAAGTTTTCAGGGTACAAAAGGCTAAGAGCTTGTTCAGCCCACGCAGGACTTCCATTCTCACTCCTGTGCTTAGTTCATTCACAGCTGAAGAGCAGAAGACCCCAAGACTCGGTGATTACAGAAGCCCAGTCAAACTACTGAGTTGAAGCACTCAAGGAAAATAAACTCCAGGTCTTTCTCAGATTCTGCACGAGGTGTATCAGGAGCTGCTTTAACTCACACCAGGCATCACCACCTGCATAAGCTGCTCCACAGCTTGCAGAGCTGTTTGTGCCTGAAAGGTAATATACTGCATAGCTTTCTATACTGTGGTGTGTAGCAGAGTCTGAGCAACCAGTATGGCCTGTGGTCATGCGTCCCAAATACCCGCCATCGACATACTACCTTTCTTGTTTTTTTAAAAACAAGGGTGAAAACAAAAAAAAGGAGGTAACGTAAGGTGGTCACCACTGACGATGACGTCAAGGCCATGGATAAAACTAGCAATTCTGAAGGCTTACCCCTGCTTCGTCCTTCTTTCAGCAAAGGGAAGCCCTTCCAGCCCTGCCCAGGTATCTTCCTCCATTGGCAAGTGCTCACGCCGAAAGGGAGCATCAAGGAAATGCAGAAGAGGGAGAACCCACACCCACTGGTCTACTTGGCAATCAATGCATCTCTGGCACAAGTTTGTCAGGTGAGCCTTCAAACTAAGAAAAATACCAAAAAGAAACACACAGAGTAAAACAATACCTTGTTACAGGGTTCAAGAATACCCAGGAGGGGGGAGAAGGCTACATCTCAATTTCGCCATGTACTTTCAATTAACTTCCAGTAATTATTTTAGCTCAATTTTGTCTTCATTGAAGAGTATATATGGTAAAAGTTTAAGACTCACATCTGTAATGTTACTTGAATCTCTATGCACAGACCCTACTAATACAGCACTAGAAACAAGCACCAATACTTTATCTACAGCTTCCACTGAGCCCTCCTGGTCAGCCAGAGCTGGGGGCACACAGCCAGGCATTCCAGGGACAATTCTCAGCCTCCAACAGGAAATTTAACAGCTGCAGCTGGGCAAGTGAACTAGAAACGCAAGTGCCAGATAAGCAGGTAGGTAACAGTCTAATAAGCAGGCACTCAGAGGAAAAATCAACAAAAAACCTGCAACGATGCACATCGGAGGAGACAAGAAGAATCCAAATGTGGCATTGAATAGTTTTAAGTCAACCTACTAATCTCACAACAGTGACAAGCTGTAATAAGGGAAATCCCATTTGGACAAAAGGAAAACATTTTTCACATCAAGAAAGAGGTACATGAGTGTCAGAGGGCCCCAGAGAGGTCATGCAATCTCCATCCCTGGTTTTCAGAACTCAGCTGCAACCTTGCCTGGGCTTTGGCTCTGCTGTGAGCAGGAGGTCAGAACACAGACCTCCAAAAATACCTTCAAATCTGATTCTTTTCAGATTGTCTGACACTAAAGATCCCAATCCCTTATTGTTTTATCACCAGGTGCTACACCTGCAGCAAAACCAGCCCAGTTAATTACCTTGTAAGCGCTCAAGTAACATACATACATACCTAGTAGCTGCTTCAAAAACCTTTGTGATTCGATGATGCTCATCCTGTATGGTCTGTTGTGACTCCTTATCCAAGCACAAGAGGCTGCACAGCCCAGCTAGGGCTTTTCCAGGGACTATCAGCTGAAACTGTTCCAGTACTGTGAGAATGGTGAGCCCCAGAGCTAGTTTACTTTTAATTACTGTGTCCTCCTGCGATGCTTTTGCATCTTCTGGGGCAAGGAAAGGAAGAGCTATTTTCGTCATGTAATCCCGCAGCAAATCATTCACCTAGGGTAAAGACAGGAAGAAACAAACCAACTACAGCATTAGCTCCCCAACAAGTCTTTTTCTTCTGAAGCTGTTTTCTTCTGCTGGTTACAGTGAGGACACTCAATAGCCCTGTACACCCCCCGACATGGTTGTACACCCAACACTGCTGTATGTCACCATCACACACCACAAGCAGGCTCCAGCTTAGCAACAGACTCAGGCTTGGGTGGGAGAGAGATTTCTGTCCTTACCCACAGCCCTCAAAAGCTACTCTGAAGTCACATCCAAGGGAACCATAGCCCTGTGGTGCTTGGTGATACCAAAATCACCCTTCTGAAACCCAGCAGTGACAGGAACCCCCAGTGGACTCTGCTGAGCTGGGAGGCTATTGCCATCTTGTGGCCTCTGCTGTGTCACCAGGAGGAGGGAGGCTGCGGAGAGTTAGACACAAGCAGCCCTGACACTGGTCCCAAGCCCCCCCCTTCCCCCCCCAAAAAAAAAGACAACATGACATTTCCACCACCTTTCATAATGATGGCAGGTAAGGGAGCCAGGACTCCAGACACCTTTTCTGCAACGCTGCTTAGAGTTGGACCAGGAAGAGCTTGGCTCAAAAAATAAGGCAGGCTCAGGATGCAAGTCGAGCATGTAGGAGTTGGTGACAGAGTGACTGGCAGCAAAACCAAAGGGCCAGGCTTAGGAAATTAATATCCAGACACAAAACCCACTGAAGCAAGAAGTCACCACACCACAGCTCTGCTGCTGACTGCTATGAGATGTTCAGGACAGCACTGAATCACAAAGGTGTGACCCGAGTTCCTGAGGCAGTTGGTGGCAGTCACCATGAAAGGAACCCCACTGATTCTGTGGCACCTGAACTTCTTGTCTGGAAAAGCAAAACTAACCCAAAAAGGTCAACAGCAAAATTAAAGTCCTGTGTTTAGTAGCTGAATGCCTGTTTTCCAGTATCTGTTAGAAGAAAACAGCTTACCTGCTGCGTGCCAAAGTCTAACTCTGTCCATTGCATCTCCCTGCCGTCATACACCTTGGGGTCTTTGGTAACCACATAAAACTGTTTCAGCTGGCAGAGGAAGCTTCTCAAATTGTTGAGGCTCCAGGTTCCAAGAATGCTGAAGATATTTTCTAACATGATATTCGCAGCTATTGTCTTCCCTTTCACCACGTCTTTGTTCTTACCAAACGGAATATACTTCCGCAAGTTTTTCGCAAAGGACGACTTACACACAATATCATCGTACTGATGCCATTCTGGAGTCAGCAACACAGATGAGAAACAGGAAACAATCACATGAGAAACAAACACAGGTTTGCACTTCCCTTTGCTCCTTAAGCTGCCCACAGAAATACCCACGCTGACCTTGAAGTTTCCAACTTCAGGTAGTGCTGTCTAACAACAACGCTAGTCCATAGAGAGATCACCCCACCAAGAAAAACAGGGATCACCCCAATAGGCAGATCCAGTTGGAAGAGCTCACCTCCATTGCTGAGCAAGCTGCTTTTTATGAATAAGCAGCGATTCACATAAGTATTTGATACTGAAGTCTTGTAAATAAATTCATATTCCTTTTCACCACCGGAAATCCAATATTTGTAAGGAATGCATTTATTCATGTTTTCTTTCGCGAGAGCTACAGTGCCTTCAATGAGGTATCCGTGTTCTCCTAGATGCCTAGGAAACACAAAACACAGCAAAGGACGTGTCAGCTGATCTATACACTTCCTTCTCCATCCTCCTCCGGTTTTAATAGGAATGATGATTATTCTTCCATGATGGAAGTTTAAATGAAGCACCCCATTGCATCCCGTTCTCCAGCGCCCGCACCCCTGCGTGTCCCTCGGGTACGTACTTGGTGCAGCTCAGCTCGCAGATGTTGTCCTTCCAGTCTGCGTAGGGAGTAACACCTTGCCCCCTGATGAACACTTTATGGACCTCAGGGTTTAGCTTGAAGTCTTTGGACAATATTGCATGGAAATATACCGTAACAACATCACTTGGGCTCACAGAACTACAAGAAAGAATCAGAAGGAAAACAGAAGTAATTCTAGTTTTTACTGTGTTTTTAAAAATTGCACAAAACATTATAAACTACAAATAAGATCCAAGCCACGCACTTACGGGATGCGAGACCCATGAGCTCTGTCAGTTCAGACAAACTGGTGCTACGTAAGAGGCCTCATGTAAAGCCCAGTGCAAAAAGGAAAAACGCTGCCTAAAGGCAGCATGAAATGCTCTGGCCATGACCATCAGAAAGGCAACAGAAACGTCTTACCCAGCAAAGTCACCTGAAACAGCCACTCTTTATCCCCCTTCCAGCTCACACACATTAAGCAAAACAAGCTACACTAATCAAAACAGCTCTTCATGCTATTAGAATCACGGAATTGTTTAGGTTGGAAGGGACCTTTAAGATCATCTAGTCCAACCATCAACCGAACCCTCATAAAAACCATCACTAAACCATTTCTCTAAGCACTATGTCAACTCATCTTTTAAATACCTCCAGGGATGGTGCCTCAACCACTTCCCTGCAGCCCATTCCAAGGCTTAATAACCCTTTAAGTTTAAAATTTTTTCCTAATATCCTCTGATATTAGGATATTAAGAGGATCTGAACCTCCCCCTGGTGCAACTTGAGGCCATTTCCTCTTATCCTATCACCTGTGGGTGACAGGGAGAAGAGACCTATTAACCTAATTATTAACCTGAAGAGTTACATGTGTAACACACACGCTGCTCCTAACAATAAGAAAATAAGGGCAATCTCAATTTTTTTATCCATCAGATACTCAAAAAGGTTCAAGTACCACGTGTGCCACGTTACCCAGTACGCGACCTCCACAGCAGCTCCCGATGACACACCAACTCTCTTTTGCATGAGTTTACCTCCTTTTTAAGGCAATTCTATTCCCATGACATGTGCAGGGTTAATCTTAGCACTTCCCCAGCCTTCACCTACAGGATCTGGCCTAAGGAGGGTAGAGGGCTCCAGGCTGAGGCGGGGGGGAGCAGCAGGGGTGTTCTCACCTTCCTTTAATCTTCTCTGCAGGCTTCTGCGTCCCTTGTTGCTTTTTGTCCTTGTAACTTTCTGTTACAGCTGAAGCATCACCATTTCTAGAAATCTCGGGTCCTTTGGTCTGACTTGTCTTCTCAGTTACTTCATGCACTTTCTCACTCGAGGTCTTTGCCTCCTTTGTGCTTTCACTCTGCGACAGGAAGACAAACAATACCCGATTAACCAGGAAACACTGGAAGGAACATCTGCAGAAACACCCAACACCCTCTTCAGTGGGACACCCAGAAATCACTGCACACCAGCCAGCTTTGTACTTCTGGAAATACTAATCCCTCATGGAGGGAAGGTGCTGGTTAAGGAAAATACAGCATGGACTGCAGGAGAAGTCCAACCCAAACTCATTGGTGCTGCGAGATATTAGTTGTTTAGCTCAAATATGTAAGTTTTAATTAGAATAAATTTCTTCGGGGTATAGCATGGTGCATTTATGCTGTTTGCCTAGATTTACTCGGCATGAGTTCCAGCTTTGCTGAAGCCTTTGGGCCGCAAGAGAGTTAATTTTCTCAGCAGTGCTCCCAGCAGCTGATACAGTGCTGTGTTTAGCCTTTTAGTAGGAAGGAAATGTCGATAACGCCCTCATGTTTTGGTGGTGTTTTCTCTAAGTCTGCAACTTTTCAGTTCCCCACATTCTGCCAGCGAGCGCAGGTGCAGAAGAAGCGTAAACCAGGAGATAAGGAGGTGACAGCCCTGGGCTGAGATTGCAAATCAACAGGATGAGAGCAGTCAACAGCCAGCCTGGGCACAGAGGGAGAATCCAAGAAGGTGTTAGAAGACCCCAGACCAAAAACCACCATTGGACTAAAAGTGGGGTGAACAGCGTGAGAAGCGTGTGAGTGGAGGGTGTAGAGATCACAAAGGCACAACTGCCCACGGATTTCTTTGTTTGACATCCCCCTCTGGAGACACCTAACTGGCTGACCCTGTCACTGTACCTTTCAATTAAATTATTTGGTTTTATAATATTCGACACCTGAGACTCTGCTGAGGGAAACCCAGGGTTGAGCCTGAAGAAGGAGGAAGCACATCCCCAGAGTAAGTGTGTGTGTGAAGAGTGAGAAGGGGCACCCAACACTTCCCTGGAGTCACCCCTGCAAAGGGACCCCGAGCAGTGACAGACTCGGGTGGGGAATGGGACTCCTTAGATTGGGATGTGAATGCTCGGGCAGCGGCTTCTCCTTTAACATCGGCAAGAAGCCAGGTCCATAAGCCACACACCCCCAGAGGATGGGGCAGGAAGGAAACAAAAGATCCAACAGCAATTCAGAGCTTTACAGGCCCATCCCTGAGTAAAGAACTGACACCTACATAGCGTGAAGGTCTCCTCCTTAGAGGAGATCCAACAGAGCTCACTGGAGCACACCTGGAAGAGAGACAAGCTCACAGCTCCTGGGGACAACTGAGCAACCCCTCGGCGAGAGGCTCTGCTAGAACTGACACACAGGAGAGCAAACCTCGAAAGAGAGACACTTCTAGTGCTCCCTGCTGTCACCCCGTATCTCCAGCCTTGTGGTCCTCAGCTTTATCAACAGCACAAACAAGTCATAGTTAAAGAGGGCAACTTTGAACACTCTGGTAAGGATTCAGCTGTGCTGGGGACTCACACACTTACCTTGGCCGTCGAACAGCTCGCTTTCTGCCTGCTCTCCTGTTTCTCCTTCCCAGCTGGAGAGCTGCTGTCCACCGGTGGAGCCTTTACATCTTGCCTGGGATGTCCAGCCCCAGGAATCACAGCCATACTTTTAGGCTCTCCCCTATCAGGAGACAACGTGGAGGGAAGACCCGCTCTCTGCTCCGTTGAGGGCAGCTTCTGACTGCTGCCCGAGGACCAGGAATCCATCCTGGTTCCTGGAAACTGGCCGGCATCAGGGGCACAACTGCCCCCTTCCACCTCACTCCTGGTACTTTCACTGGTCACCTCCTCCTTCGGGGCTGCAGAGCTTAGAGATGGGGCAGCCACGTTACCTGTGCTGCTCTGCTTTGGGGGGGTCATCACCTCTACGCTGCTCTCACTGCCTTCTGGAACTGCTTCCAGGCTTCCAGCTTCTTCCTTTCCCAAGTCATCCAATGCTTTCTTGCTTTCACGTGCTCCTCCACTCTCACCAGCAAGTACCTCAGCTCCCACTTTGGCTGCTTCACTACCTGGGGTTTGGATTTCTTGTGCAGTAACGCTCATATCAGGCAATTCTGTGGTTTGAGCTGGTGCTGTGCTTAGAGGAGGCAGAGAGTCTGGCTCCTGGGAGCTGGAAGAACCCTTCTTTGCTTTCTTCTTCTTCTTCTTCCTTTTCTATATTAAAAAAAAAAGAAGGAACAAGACAATGTCTGTTTATTCAGCATTGACGAGAAATTCTTCGTCACTTCCTCCACTGGAGCTCATACCAACATCTTCATGCTACACTACACTGGGTTAACGTGGAATGATCAGGAAGAGAAGGGACAAGACCAGCCACATCTTCTAGAGTAGGTAAAAAGCAAGTGACTCTCAAGAATTCTCTAAATTTAACATTCAAAACGCTCTCAGCAGGGAACACAGAGCAAGATGCTCACTAAGAACATCAGAGCAGTTACTAAGCTGGCTCCTGTACTGTTTCCCCAAATGCAGCACAGGGGCTGTCAGGGGGAGCTGCTCTGCTCAGCACATCGGCTCTCCCGATTCACCACACTTCACGTAAGCAAATACATCTACAGTTTGCCAAGGAACACAGGCCCCAGCACCCAGGTGCAGCCCAACAGGATTCAGGGTGATGCAGCCCAGCTTCACTGTTTGCAAAGGAGAGAGCAACAACTTACCAGCTACTCCTGCTCCTCAGCACCCACAAAGAGCCTTACCTTCTTCCGTGACTTCTGAGAAGAATCACCAGCCACACACTGAGGTGTGGGCTCTGAGCCATCGCTTGGAGCTGTTACACCCTCGAGCAGGGACGACCCCTCTTCGAGCAGGGACGACCCCTCTTCGAGCAGGGACGACCCCTCTTCGAGCAGGGACGACCCCTCTTCGAGCAGGGACGACCCCTCTTCGAGCAGGGACGACCCCTCTTCGAGCAGGGACGACCCCTCTTCGAGCAGGGACGACCCCTCTTCGAGCAGGGACGACCCCTCTTCGAGCAGGGACGACCCCTCTTCGAGCAGGGACGACCCCTCTTCGAGCAGGGACGACCCCTCTTCGAGCAGGGACGACCCCTCTTCGAGCAGGGACGACCCCTCTTCGTCCTGAGTCACAGCAGAGGAAGGAGTCCCACCTGCAGAGCATTCAGGTGTGGTCTCTGAGGAACTGAACAGAGCTCTTTTGTTCTCCAGGAGCAATCTTTCCTCCTCTTCTGTCTCAGTGGTGGAAGAAGGCCTGTCAGCACCTTCTTCCTTCTCATCTCCTCGAGCCTCTGCTCCTGTATCAGGAACTGGAGCGAGCTCTGCTTCTCTTCTTTCTGCAATGGAGGCAAGGTTCATTGTTAAATTCAGGAAAGAAACCAGTTCTCAGCTGGGGGTGAGCAAGCAGGTGCCACCGACTCAACTTAATTGATTGAACACATAGGAGGCACTTTGTGGTTTCCTGTTCAACAGCTACCACTGACAATGACACCATCCTCCCCAGCACAGCCTCCTTCCTCTCCAAGGCCCCTGCAGTCAGTAGCAGAATAATTAAGATAAGAAACAACTGTATTAAGGTACTTATCTATGTATCCAGCTAACATGCTTCTGGCCAAAGCAGAAGGTGCTGGGAACCACACCTGCCTGTCAAATTGCTGGAGGACCCCCAAGATGTGCAGTGACAGGACAGTGGCACTCTCAGCTTTCACAGCCTTCAGGACCGTCCATGCGACCTCTGCCACGCAGCCCAGTGCTGCGCCCAGGAAGGCATGGGAAACCCCCTTCTTATTTTCAACAGTTTTATCCAGTCCCTAAAAGCCGTGAAAAGGCAGCTCAAATCCAGTCAGGCACCAGAGCAGATCCCCACTTTCTGCAGACCTGTTTCACAGGCGCTCCAGCACCATCTCTACCCCGAGCCTGAGAGCGAAAGCTTTTAACCTCTTTGAGTGGAGACCAACCAACAGCAAGAGACATTGATTTCCTCAGGGTATATTTGGGAGGAGCATAAAAATCACAGTGAAGGTAGCTCACAGCCCCTTGCAGTATTACAGCCCAAAGGCTGCACCACACTTAATGACAGCAGGTTGTTTTGTGCCTCAAGTAGGCACCCTCTGCAATATTGCTCCACATCCAATTTAATATCATGCCATTGCCTGAAGAGTTTAAACTCTTCCCTGAGCTTTTCCTGCTCCTCAGTGACTCCTTCCACAGGGCTCCACCTGCACACATTTACTCAGTGGAAGAATATGCTCCCTGTCTGGGAGAGCAGGGAGCATATTCACCTGGTAAAGCACTACAACTCCTTCCACCACCTTTAATTGTTGCCAGAAGACGACAAAGCTTTCAGACCACCAGAACTGATGCTTTGGGTGTTTTTCCTACAGTGTGTAAGAGCTGGAGATCCTAAGTTTGCTACCTTGCCATTCTGGATTGCAGAGGGATTTGCTAAGAACTGATCTAAAAGTAGGATTCTTTTAGGATCCTACTTCTTCACATCAACTCACCAAAAGCAGTTCTGGTGGCCTGAGTCACTCTCTCCTTAAGTAAATAAAGGATTAGGAAGTCTTTTCCTCAGTGTTAACTGCATTAATTGTGTACTTGATTCTGTTACTGTTCATAGAGGCAGAATTAGGGTGTCTTTAAACAGAAACTCAGGGAGTGAGTTCTAAACCTCACAATAAGCTGAAAATAGGAAATTCTACTTCAAGAGTGACTAGACCTGTCTTTGTAACTCAGCATTCCTAAAAATGGCACCAGTTCAGTGGCAGAACAGAAACTAGTTCAACACTGGAGCTCTGAGCGTGGAGAATGTGTGTAGGAGGTGCCAGCGACTGACTGGCTTATCTCCCCAGCCACTTCCAATCTCTGCAAAACAAGGAAAATTCTTTCAATGCAGTAATGCAAGGGAAATCTGAGATGCGAACAGCACGGAATGGCCTGGCCAGAGCAGCCCAGAGCCACACCAGTGGCACCAGTGCACACCCGCAGCCTCTGGTCACCGTGCAGCCTTGGGGGATGCCAGCCCCTGCTCCAGCCAGCCCCGCAGCGTCCCCCAGCTCAGCCCACCTTGTGTCCTCCTACCTGAAGGTTCGTCCCCAGTGCCGCTGGTGGGAGCCACCTTGGCCCCACATCTGCTGCAAAAAATGGGAGAATCATCCCCAGAAACAAAGCCACAGGCGCAGCACTCCATGTCTCCCCAGCTGCAACCTCGGCGAGATTAAGCTCTTCCGGAGCCACAGAGGGAAACAAAAGGATGGGGCAGAAAGAGAAATATTACTATAAAGTAATGAACCTTTGTCACGTAACCTTCCTCCCGGCTCTGGGTTGATTTTCAGGAAGCAAACTGTGATACTCAAGAGCAAGGCCCTCCCTCCACAAGAGAAGAGCTGCCATCCCTCAGCTCGCACCAGCTCACAGGCCTGGTGGTGGGGGGAAAACCACAAAAATAAACAAATAAAAATAGCTACTCCACTTTGCACAGAGACTTTTTTTTTTTTTTAAATTAATCTCACTGGGAACGCGCCGGACCGGGCGAGGGCAGCACGGCCCAGCAGGCCTGGCCACAGGCCGAGCCACACCGGCGGGCTCAGGCCAGAACTGCCGGCAGGCCCCTCTGCCTGTCCCCGGTAGCCCAGAGGTCTGCAGGTTGCCAGGCGGGTCGGAAGCCCCGGGAACGGGCTGGGAACGGGCTGGGGACGGGCTGGGGACGGGCTGGGGACGGGACGGGGACCCCGGGGTGAGCCCGCACCGGCCCGGGAGGAGCCCGCAGGCCGCAGCCCCGACCCTCACCTGCACCGCCCGGGGGGGAGGCGGGGCCGAGGCGGCCTTTGGGCGGGGCCTATATGCAAATGAAGCGCCGCTCGCCCCCTGCGGAGATGCGCGATGCCCCGCCTCCCCCGCGGGAGATATGCAAACGAGGCGGGTGGATGGGCCAATGGCGTGGCGAAGGACAGGAGGAATGCAAATGAGGCCCGTTAGGTAAGGGCCGGTGGGCAGGGGGCGGGGCCGCTCCCAGCCCGCGCCGGGGGCACCGGCACCGGGGGGCACCGGGGGGCACCGGGGGGCACCGGGAGGGGGGGGCACCGGGAGGGCCGGGATGCGCCGCGGGGTAGCGGTGTCCCGACTGCACGGGGAGCGGAGAGGAGTGTTCAGGGGCAGCCTGGGCGCACCGGGGGGTCCTGAGCGCACCGGGAGGCGGCAGCGGGGTCCGGAGCTCGCAGCTCACCGCCCCCCTAGGACCTGCCCCGCGCCGCCCGTCCCGGACATCCCCCCGCTAAGCCCAGTCCCGGTGTCCCCGGCCCGGCCCGTCAGTCCCGGCAACGCAACTCACCGGGACCGGGACCGGCACCTGCAGCGCCCGCTCCGCCGGGCCGCGCCGCCGCCTCCCGCCGGCCAAAGTTTCGCTTTCCCGCAGAGTCACTAAGTTTCGTTTCTTGGACGTCACCCCCGGCCTGTCCCGCCCCCTCCCGCCGCTGGTCGCCTTCCCCCGGGCGGCTCCCGCCGGGGTCCCGCCCTGCCGGGGCTGCCGGGGCCGGGCCGGGCCTCCGGGCATCCATCCTCCCGGGCACCACCGACGGGGCGG